GGACGATTGTGACGTCCTTGAAATCCTGCGTCACTTCTCCTTGACACCACACCTCCTGGAACAGCGCCGTTAGATGATCTACGAGTTGGGGGCCATCGTGCCTGTGGATCTCAGCTGAGATCACGTCCGATCCGGATGCTATACCACCGGAGGGCCGCTGCACGACCCTGATGGTTTCGTGGAAAGAGGGCGGGAGGTCGAGGTTGACGTTGGTCTCCACTCGAGGCAGACGGGTGATAGCGGCATCGGAGATGGAGAGGCGGTTGAGAAGGCCTTTGAAGTGCTCGACCCATCGCTGTAGGATTTGTGTCTTCTCGGTGAGTAGGGTACTTCCGTCTGCGGTGAGAAGAGGAGCAGTTCCTTTAGTTGAAGGACCTTAGACAGTCTTGATCGCGGAAAAGAAATTCTTCCATTCGTTGCGATCCGCGTACCCTTGGATCTCCTCCGCCGTGTAAGCCGTTCAGGCCTCCTGCATCTCTCGCAGCCGCTGTTGCACGAGGCGGCGACTATGGTGGAGGGCTGCTTTGTTGTCTTCAGTAGGGCGATTGACGTAGGTTATGTGCAGTCGGTTCTTCTCGGCAAGTAAGTTGCTGATGGCGATGGCACTGACGTCGAACCAGCCCTGGTGTTGACGACGTGCGCGACCGAGGACAGTCAAGGCGGTTGACTGGACCGTGTTCCTCAACTGGCACCATCGGTTCTCCACGGAGGCGTTCTCGTCGGCGGTAGCAACGGTGACTGGATGATTAGCCGTTGAGTTAGTTCATTGTTGAAATGCAAATAGTGAGCAGGCAAAGACGACAAAGCAATATTCAACTTACCTGGGGGTCGCCTACCTTGAGGTCTCCTGCGAGGCTGTAGGCGGATGCTCATCTTGAAGATGATGAGGCGATGATCAGTCAACCTGTCGCACCCGGGGTCGCCTTTGTCACCAGCACGTTCCGCTGGTCTCGCCTGCGAACGTGGACATAGTCCAGCAGGTGCCAGGGTCGCAACCGAGGGTACATCCAGGTGGCCTTCTATGGCGTCGAAAGGAGAAAGAACGTGTTGGTCAGGGTGAGGCGGTGTGCTGCGCAGGTTCGTAGGAGGAGTAGGCCACTGTCATTGGAGCCTTTGAGGTCATGGGGACCCAGAACTCCTCTCCAGTCAGTATGGTCCGTACCGACGCGTGCGTTGAAGTCACTAAGGACAATCAACTTATATGCCTTCGGCACAGCCGGCAGGAGCGCGTGAAGGTCCTCTTAGAATTTGTTCCTTGAGGCGTCAGGGCTGGTCATCAGGGAACGTAGGTGCTGACTATGATGGCAAATTTGCCTCCCTGGAGAGGCAGACAAAAACTCATCAGACGATTATTGATGCCCTGCGACAGACAGGGCAGTCGTCCCACGTTGTCGTTCCGGATGGCAAAGGAGACGCCCACATGTCGCTCTGCCTTCGGACGACCGCTTCAGAAGAAGGTGTAGACGGCACCCACTTCCTCCATTTGGCCTTGTTTGGAAAACCAGGTCTCATTTAGTGCAGCGATGTCCACCCTGTGGCGCTCCAGTTCCCGAGCCAATAGCGCCGTCCTCCGTTCCGATCGGTTGCTCATTGGATTGCCTTGTGAGCTACTGCGGGGTTGCAGACGAAGGTTCATCTTGGAGGTGGCGACGCTGTGGTCCGTGGGACATTCGACCATGGGACAGGAGAGTAAAGTAGAGAATAAAGAAAACAAGGGATAGAAGAGAAAGGTGGAGAGCAGGTCCTGTTTCCATTCAGGCGTTTGCTGAGTGCTGGTGACCTCCTACGTGGTTGCAGACTGAGCCTCATTTCGGGGGTGCCGAGGCGGTGATCCATTTGGCCAGCGATGGTGGGAGCGGATCCGAGTAACAGTGATCGGAGATACCAATCCAGCTACCCTGGCCTGGTTTAGCCCGCCGCTCGATGCAGTTACCGGGGTTTGGCCGCTAGACAGAGCCAAGCTTCGGGGAGCCATAGGTGAGAGTTGGTTGCCAGTCAATGAACGCTAGGCGTAGTATACACCTGCAAACAAGTGAACGACCTACTACGACCATCACGTGAACCCACAACTGGCCACCCCACACCCTTTGACAATGCCCTCCGTGTGCATCACAGCAGCGTGGACGCAGAGACGGTAACTGGATATATATATATATATATTGTTGGAGTGGTTTATGCATACTGCGGAGCGCGTTGTATGGAATGTCGTCTACGCAGGGGATTAGAGAGCATGCGATTTGGCATCGGGTTCACAAATGGTCTTTTTCAAATTTGCAAACCTCTACGTGTGTTATGTCTTGCTTAGGATACATCTGTCATCGCGTATGCAAAAAGATTGCCAGTAAGCGTCCGTTTAATGCTAGAGGGATATTTTGAAGGCTACTGGGGTAATATCCACCGCTGCATAGGACCTGTGAAAGATCTTCTGGAGATCTTAAGTGGAATCAGTTAGATGGAGCACAGTATCGCCTGTGGTTCCCTTATTCACTATTTTTTAACAAAAACGTCGTAGTATTGACGCCCATGAGGGGAACATTAAAATCTAAGGTTCTCCAGTACCTACGTTAATTACCTGCCCCTTTTAACACACGCACTTGTATGTCAATGAAAATGGAATCACTCTATAAATCGTCAAATACCTAAGCAGTCAGTTTTTATTTGCTATAGATCCAGTCAACAGACCTGAAATCTCATTTCAGACGTATACTGTTTATACCTCGAGTATCTTACTACACCTTTGTAACAATCTACACAGCCAATAACAAACGTGCTTAAGGGGAATGTGTAGAAGTCTATAATTTACCAATTTCAATCCTGCAATGATCGACAGGGACAATCCGATGAGCAGGGCTAGGCTCAGGACTAGAATAATTAAAAGAGCAGAATTATCGGAAATCAGCACATCATATATGTAACACCAGTTGGGACGTGGGAGGAGGATGAAAACTGAAAACAGCAAGTGAGCAAGAGAAAGATAGAGGAAAATAGGACGAAACACGAGAAATGCCATCAAAAAAGAATAAGAAACGTAAGGCATCAAAAGAAGGTAAGCAAATGGAGACCATGTTTTCTGCTTGGGCAGATGTACCGAACATGTCTGCTTAGCAAGCAGGAAAATAGTATGTACAGCTGATGTGCTGTCCCATGAAATGTATTTTTAATTCCAAAAGAGTACGTTAATGGGACTGTAATATTAAGTATCATGTGACGTAAAGTCAAGATATTTCGATCACGTCAGGATACCGGCTTTCGAAAGAGCCCCTTATCGACCGCCTGCCTAAACTACTTTCCGCAGAAGTGTTTACTTAAGTAGCCTAAATTTTTACCACTGACTTTTGATATTCTTATAAATTCAAATAGATTTAATAGAAAACAAGGGCAAAAACATTATTTTATTCACTCATTTGGTAGCAAATTACGTCTTCTTCAAAGTCCATACTTGTACAAAAAGTATCAATTGGTTTTAATAAAACTCCGGATTATGAAATTTTTTAAAACAGTGAAATGTCCAATTGTTCAATACTGCATCATCATATCCGCCAAGGATGCTTATAAAACGGACAATTTGGTCCACATCCATTACAGAATATTACGAGCGCTATATGTTCCCTTTACAATATTAGTGTATGCTTGTGATTTTCCTTTCATAAAAAGTATACGGCTAGTAGGTCGGGAACCCTGAATGCAAATGCAACGACAGGTCGGGTTCAGAATTAATCAATAATCGAGAAAGTTTTAAAAAATCGGACGATACTATTTCTGCAAGTACAAAATTTGAAAAAAGGACGTAATTTGTTACCAAATGAGTAGACGGAAAAATATTTTTGTTGATGTTTTCTAAAGAATATTTTTAATTGTTAAGTGTATCAGAAATCAATTGCAAAAATTGAGGACACTTAAGAAAACATATTTTGCTGAAGGCAGTTTATCCAGACTGTCTATATGGGCTCGTTCGAAAGCCGGTTCCTTCGAGTCACTTTTGAAACGACTGGGAAACCACCGCCAGAAGCCTATCTCATACGCGCCCAGTTCTCTCACCCTGCTCGATAACTCATGGGTTCTGCCTGTGCTTATTTCATCGAATTCTCATGAGACAAGTCTCGGTGTACCATATAGTATTCACGCAGAATCAATGCCCTGATGTCAAACATTACTGCGAATGACGGAAAACCCGTAGTCTGTGTGGTCATTTGTGCGTGGGGTGCGTTGGAAGGTTGTTCAATCTAAGTTCAGTCAATGGATCGTACCAGATCTCTACTCAGCTTGATTGGAACGGAGCACGGACAAACGGCAGCGGAAGACGAGGACGAAATCAGTCCACTTCGAATCCCGCTATTGATTGCCTCATGATTAGCAACCCAAGCGCGCCCTCGAATTATCGAAAACCGAATTGAACTGAACATGCCAATGAATATAGCCTGAGAAGTTCCCAACTGACGGCGCAGTTTGGTCTTCCCTAGGGCTGAGGCTATAATAGTTTCCTCCTAGCTTGGTTCTTATCTTGCTATCATCACTGTGACATCCAGGACTGCCATCTTCCTCTAAAGTCCAGTGTGTTGAGGGTTAAGTAATAGGTCGTGTGGGATATGCATAGACGTAACTCCGACCTCGTCAGTCCTTCTGTTCGAGTCCATCTGCAGTTGTCTGGATCCTGATGAGCCACCGGAAGATGGGCGTGTGGGTGGAGGGAGTGGGATGGGTGGTGAATAAGTTAGCTTCACTTTTAAAAATGAACAGGCAAGTCACCACTGTATCTTCACAGGGACGGTGATCATCCTCGTTGCTAGCAATGGACAAAGGCATTTCACATTTTTTTAAAGTTCCTTCACAGGCTCCCAGCTATGAACGGTTATAGCGCATTGGGGGAACTACATTTGTCAATGCGTGTAATCAGATCCATATTTAAAGATTTTTGCCTTTTGTTCAAGACGACACGCTTGATTAGACTGTAATGAAATATCTTCTCTCCATGATCCATCTCAGAATCCTTATTTTGCATCCCTACTATGCCTGCATGTAATCGTCTCTGCTTCCTTACACGAGACTTGATTTTACTAGATCTTGTGTCTGTGTCATTTTTAAAAGCAGTGAGAGTAATTTCATTCGCATGCACTTTAATTTTTCTCGGAGTATCTGTACACTGCGCCAAATGCAGGGACATGTCCGGGAGCAGTATTTAGATTACAATTGAGAAGTCGCGATTTATAGCATGGAGACGTTTTTTGGTGAGGTTATAAAAAGTATACCAATAAAAATTACACTTGTGTCTTACCAGCGGCACAGAACCGTTGTTTGAATGGTGCTAGACCAGCAGATTTCAACTTGTTTGACCAGCAACAGACTCAATTTACCGAATGCTTACATTTCCCGAGGTTGTCCGTAGGCTAATTTGTACGTCCGGTCTTGAATTACTTATACAAAAGAGGAATTTGGACGTATTATTTAAAAGGCCACATCGGTCTTTATATTCAACCACTCGAATTTTATCGTCTAACCTAGAATTCAAATTCTTCTTGCAGAAATCAGACAGTAATCATATACCAGTGCTGGCTTGTAGTGTATATTGCATGTAGGAAACCAACGACTCCAGCACGTACCCTTGAGTAGTCTAATCATGTACCGACATTTCGGGTTACGTATTTTCCTGAATGCGTATTCAAAAAGCTTCGTGTTACCGAAAACTGTTAATCTAGGCGAATGCCTTTCTTAGTACCTCGTATTTATAGAGTTTCTTAAATATGCATGGTGGTCACCTATGTCGAATGTATTGCTGATAGCTAGCACGACTAGCTCAAAATCATTCCTATGTGATTTTCTGCTCAGGGGCTCTGCGGTTGTGAGGAAATTCGGAAAAAACGATTGCCTTTCTTGTAAGCCCGGCTAACTAGGACCGCGCCGTGACTGTCCCCCGCTAAGAAGGTTCGTAAAGTCAGATAGGAGGGAGACAAATTGATGTGGCGGTTGACAGAGCGGTCGGTGGACATCCAGGCTTCTTGCACTTGCCTTGCTGTGTGATCGCTGCCCCGGCCCACAATCTCAACGGCGTCAAAGTTGAAGATGTGTCCCATTTGCGCGGCATGGGTTGCTACCTCCGACTTTGGGTCCAACCTTCGCACGGCCAACTTATGCTCGTGCATTCGCGTTTGCAGCTGTCGGCCGGTTTCCCCAACGTAGTTGCAACTTCCGCAGCTGCATTGAAGTCGGTAGCCGTCAGTCGGGGCCGTCAGTCATCACCGCGGCCGACGGGGGCGATTCAGGTCACGGTGACATGCGGGTTGGATGCAGCCACACAGGCGGCATTGGCGGATCACGCATTGGACAAAGGGCCCCATAATAATGAGTGCTGTGCACAGGACCTCTCAGTCCCTGAAGATGGGTAGACGGATAAACTACCCGAAACGTCGGATCTCAAATAAACCCCTCCTGGTGAACGCCCCCTCTTCTTTTGATATGCCACCTGGGAATCGGATTTTCACTACTATTGATGTGAATCACGGGCGTGAAGCGCTTCAACCGGCTCGTCGTTGGGAAAAAACTGTCCTCCGACAGGCCTCGACCTATGCACAGCTCCATTTCCTTCACAGATGCCTTGCCAACTATGTTATGCCAAAATGCCTCTCTTACAAACCTCCAGTCAACACGGAATTGGCTAAACAAACGATGTTCCGCCATAGTCGGCGAATGACAAGGGTACTCATGCAAGATTGCCACCTGCGACTTAAGAAATACGCACACAGTACTGAAAACTACCGGATGCTTGTTACACGCCGGTGTGGGGAATCGACTGCCGCCGCATTGTAGAACACGTTACTAGCATTGGGACGAAAGAAACGTGCTAACAGCGATGCGGATTTATCGATAAAGTTCATGGCACTACAGACCGCACAAGACCAGGAAACCGAACAAACGATAGTACATAACCTCTCGTCAAATCAACTTACTGTGACCCAAACAAAAGTTCTACAACGTGGATCTGGTTTTAACACAACTGACGCCGACCCGGTCAACTTCATTGCTTCTTTCGAATCAGTGCTTCGTCAAACCGGCGCCACAGACGAGGTAAAGGACCTCCTTCGACCTCAAGTCTCTTCACTTCTCATGTCGCACCGGAAAACCCATTCCCTGCTAAGAGATGAACAAAAGGCCCTAAGGGAGCTGAAAGCGGACACCGAAATAGTTATTCTGCCTGCTGACAAAGGCCGGTCAACCGTCATCCTCGACAAGGTGGACTACCGACGCAAAGCCCTCCTGCTCCTCAACGATCGAGAGTCCTACAAAGTTAACGACGCCGCCAGTCTAAAGCCCCTAGTGGCAAAGGTTAACAGAATTCTGGCTCGACTAAAAAAGGACAAGGTCATCACCGTCAAAGACTGGTATATGGCAAAGCCCGCAGAAACCGCTATTGCGAGATTCTATGGTCTCCCAAAAGTACACAAGCCAGATGTTCCCCTCCGTCCTATCGTCTCACTCCGAGGCACACCCACATACGGGCTTGCAAGCTGGGTATTTCAGAAGCTAAGATTCCTAACTGCAGGCTCACAAACAACGGTGCACTCAGCAAAACAACTCCTTGACAAAATAAGGACAGTCACGATCGAACCGAATGAAAGGGTGGTGTCTTTTGACGTCGTCTCACTCTTCGCGTCCATACCACAGGCTCTTGCGGTCGAAACGCTCAGTGACCTGCTACGTCAAAATAACGACGGGGGCGATGGGCAGCCCACAGCTCAGGATCTCATAGAACTCATGGGGCACTGCCTCAAGACATTCTTTACCTTCGAAGGGACCACATACGAGCAGATCAAGGGCACTCCAATGGGTTCACCAATCTCCGGACTCATTGCCGTGGCGGTTCTACAAAAACTCGAGAGACGACTATTCGAGGAGTACAAACCCAAGTTTTGGGCACGCTACGTTGATGACACCTTCGTAATCATAGACCAGGATAAAATCAACTACTATGCGGAAGTACTGAACTCAATCATGCCCGATCTACAGTTCACGATGGAAGAGGAAGTAGAGGACAAACTTCCATTCTTGGATGTTCTCGTCTGCCGCCAACCAAATGGCGAACTAGCAACGTCGGTCTACAGAAAACCGACGAACACGCTGCAAATTCTCAGCTACCACAGCAACCACCCGCCACAACACAAACGAAGCTGTGTCCGCACGCTGTACTGACGGGTGGAAACTCATTGCAGCACGCCAGCCGCCAAACTGGATGAGATAAAGCTCCTCCGAGAACTCTTCAGAGCCAATGGCTATCCGCGGGCATTCATTGAACGAAGCCGGAGGCAGCCAAAGAAACGGAACGAAGAGCATAGTCAGCCAAACTCGTGGCGGAGCATTCCGTACATTAAAGGGGTCTCCGAAGTCGTGGCCCGATCACTCGCGCCACTCGGAATAGATGTTGCCCACAGGCCTGACTCAACAATCCGCCGGCAAGTGATGAGGCCGAAAGATCCGATCCCTAAGCAGGAGATGTCGGCCGTTGTCTACCGACTTCAATGCAGCTGCGGAAGTTGCAACTACGTTGGGGAAACCGGCCGACAGCTGCAAACGCGAATGCACGAGCATAAGTTGGCCGTGCGAAGGTTGGACCCAAAGTCGGAGGTAGCAACCCATGCCGCGCAAATGGGACACATCTTCAACTTTGACGCCGTTGAGATTGTGGGCCGGGGCAGCGATCACACAGCAAGGCAAGTGCAAGAAGCCTGGATGTCCACCGACCGCTCTGTCAACCGCCACATCAATTTGTCTCCCCCCTATCTGACTTTACGAACCTTCTTAGCGGGGGACAGTCACGGCGCGGGACAATCGGGGCCGTCAGTCATCACCGCGGCCGACGGGGGCGATTCAGGTCACGGTGACATGCGGGTTGGATGCAGCCACACAGGCGGCATTGGCGGATCACGCATTGGACAAAGGGCGCCATAATAAGGAGTGCTGTGCACAGGACCTCTCAGTCCCTGAAGATGGGGAGACGGATAAACTACCCGAAACGTCGGATCTCAAATAAACCCCTCCCGGTGAACACCCCCTCTTCTTTTGAAATCGAGGCCATATTTAAGAAAGCAACAATGAAGTTCCTGGAACAGGGCCACTTTCTCTCAGAACTGCAGCACGGCTTCAGAGAGAACCGCTCTTGCCTTTCCAGTTTATTGCTCTTGACAGATCAGGGGACTCGCGCACTGGACGAGGATGTCAGGGTCGACGTCATCTACACAGATTTCAAGAAGGCGTTCGACATCTTCCCACGCAAACACCTAATCTACAAGCTTTCGAAATTGGGATAAGAGGAAGGCTGCTGACATGGATAACAGATTTTCTTGCAGGAGATCACAAACGGTGTGCGTTGAGGCCTCAAGGTCAACTCCTACTCCGTTCTAAGTGGTGTACCCCAGGGCTCCGTCTTAGGGCCGTTGCTATTACTGGTTTACATGAACGTCTGCGTCGACGACCTGGGATGCAGTCCCATCATGGTTGCTAACGATGTTAAGCTGTGGAGAGTCATCAGTTCTAACGCATACAGGTACGTGCTTCAAGACAATCAACCGCCTGAACAGTTGGTCAGCTCGTTGACTCCTCAATTTTAATGTGGACAAATGTGTGGTCCTGAGACTTCGCACCAAAGAGACCACTAAGAAGGACGATTCCTTTCAATACGTCCTGGGTGGTCAGCCTCTTTCAAATGCTGTGAAACAGAAAGACCTCGGTGTCCTAATGACCTCCTCGTTGAAACCATCATCACAGTGTCAAAGGGCAGCCAAAAGTGCGATAAGGGTGTTATTTGCGCTGAGGCGAGGATTTGTGCAGATCGATAAAGAGCTGTTCGGAAAAACATATGGGGCATTCGTCCGGTCTCACTTAGAGCATGCAGTCCAGGCCTGGCGACCGTGGTTGAAGAAAGATTATCAACGACTGGAAAGAGAACAGGCGATGGCTACGAAGATGGTCAAGAGTCTTCATCATTTGCCTTACGAAACCAGACTGACCGAACTAAATCTCTTTCCTCTCAACTTCGCGGCCATCACATCCAAACCTACAGAATTATCAGAGGCTTTGATAGATTCTTCGAAATGGCCGGGACTGACAGTCCGCGTGATCATCCCTTCAAACTGCAGAGGAAGTTGGCTCATTCAGACGTCCAACTGAACGCCTTCTCTCACAGGGTTATTGGGGCATGGAATGGACTCCCTGATGCAGTGGTTCTTTCCGAAACTGTCGAGTCCTTTAAGTGTAGACTAAATGCTCATCTGCTGAGAAACTACTGTACACATAATCACGATTGTTTTAGCGGCAGCAGGTTGCGCCTGGCTCACACTTACCGCCAACTTTTGAATTTACGCATTTGCTGATTTAATTGATGATTCTATTTCTGTTTATCGACATGAATAGAAGGCTAAAGGGTGAAAGCCTCATTTCCTTAGTAAACTGATTAAAACTGACTAACCAGATGATTCACTAGAATTCTAAGGAACACTGTTAAAGCCGACTAGTGGGTGGATCACAGTCAACCCGCCAGGAGGTTTTTTGCGTGGAAGGGTAAATAGGTTCTCTCCTCAATCATGGCAAAAATATCTTGTGTCAGTTAAGCCTGACGCAAGAATTTAGGGAGACTGTGTGTAGGAAGACCGCCCCTGCGAACTTATCAAGACCTGAGCTTAACAAATGAGGCTCCTATTCTGTTGACTCAGTAGCTGAGTTTTCTTCTTGGAAAACATGTCCTGCCAGTAAAGATGGACATGAGTAAAAGTTCAAGAGAGTTTGTTGGGTCTGTAAATGGAAGGTTCAGCCGGTTTAGAAGACGCCTTTATTCAGCGTAAACACAATTCAAGCTTCGGCTTACTCGGGGTTCTCCTTTATCGATTTTCTGGCGTATGCTTCGGTGCGTACCACTCCTGATTTGCCGTCTGAGTATGCCCTTGGCATCGATGGCTTCGTGGTATCTTCTGGTTAACCGGTGGTGCTTCTCAATCAGGTAGCGCGCATTGTCTGTTTTCTCGTGGGCGTTTAGCGCTGGTTTGTTTACGGGCGCTCTTCGTAATGGAACTGCGCCGCCAGTGCACGTTAGGGATGCTAGTCCTGTGTGGTTTTTGAGGACAGCCTTTTAAAGTCTTGTTTTTTCTGCGTATGACAATAGCTAATCACATTTCTAGGTGAGTTATGAAGTTACCTGTCAGGCTGAACTCCGTCACATCTACAAATCCGACAGTAAGCCCTGTAATTTTGCTGGGTGCCACCTGCGAGGACGGAAATTGTGCTCTCCATCTATGTCTCCTTTAGAGATTTTTCCATTCGGAGGGACAGATAGACAGCATAACGAATGATATATGGAACCCGAGAAGGTATGTTCACTGTCAACCTGATGAAAAACATTTCCCCTACCAGGTCTTTTAGACATAAATTGCTTATGTAAATGCGGCTGCGTCAGGCGGAGCTAACATCGAGCTAGATGACATCACGTCTGCAGAACTTAACACAACCGTGAACCTTTCGAAAGGGAGACCAAAACAGTTCGTGAACTCATACCTTTTTATCGGGTGCAGATAGTGGTAGTACTAGAGACATGGCTAATTTAGCAACTAAGAAACCCCTGCTATACGTCATTAGAGAGCGAGTTCGAAAATCAGGCAGAATTTCAGGAGTCAAAGAGCAATAAGTGAAGGAAGGTTAGGAAGATACCACAAAATACGGTCCGCCTCGCAGCGAATATCATTGTCGTCTTTACTCAGTTCGATTGAATTCAACGTCGGTAATGAGATAGGCAGCGAACAGAAATTGATGAAATCCACTAAAAAGTTCCTCTATTAGCTCTAGAAAGGGACATTAGTATTGGCGCAAATAGAGAAATCGGCTATTAAATCAGTTTGACTCCACAGTTTATTTTGGAAACCACTTCACCTAGTTTTTTGGACGTTCGTTTTCCCGTGCACAAATATGTACCTAGACTTTCGGATAGACTAAAGCTGTTCAGTTTAATGGTTAAGAATCTACTGAATTAATGACTGCAGTCCTATCCCTCGCCAATTCGACCTACGATGATGAACATTGGGCATATAAGAGCCCGAAAAGCATAATGCTTTTTTCATTAGCTATCTCCCATGATTCGTTTTGATAGCGTATAATCACAGGTCGCGAGTTAAGTCATTGAGTTAACCAACGGAACTGTGGATTTTAAGGCGACCGTGAATTCTGGCGAAGTGACAACTTTGCATTAAATGGTGTTACGTAATCCAGCGCCGGTTTCTACTTATGGAGTCAAGAAACATGAATAATATTAAATTTCTTTCTGTGGAAATATTGCGGCTTATTATATTTGACCTCCGGGAAATTTGCCCGCGTTAGGTGGAAGGCAGCAAAAGCAGTGCGAAAATTCAGCTTAGATACCAAATCAGTTTCCTCTGAAGAACGAATAAAATTCGATAGTAAAGTCTGAGTGAAGTCTGTTTCTGTTTGTCTAGACGTTCGCTATCCCACAGGTGATAGCGCAGTTTCACTGTCATATGAATTTCAGCGGAGAAATTGAGATAGATACGGAAAGAAATAGCGATTGACACCTCAGTTTTGCTGCCACTGAACAACTGTTCAACGTAAACCACCAGGATATGAGCGGGATGGTAGTGGAAAATTCCTACTGCACTAAGAAGGTCCAAAACGTCCTCTTGCAGAACATCGGCTTACTCGTTAAGCTAATTTACTTGAGTCTTTCTTCCAAATGGCTAAATGTAACGGCAATTGAATGCTGAATACGACAAGCTTTTGGGTAATTTTGAGGATACAAAGAGCTTCTAAGTACTGTACAGTAACAAAGACGAGAATGCCTGAATGCATAAATTTAGGGTTATCGTACCCTATAGTGTGTGTCGGTTTGCTCCATCGTCGCCTATCCACGATCTTGTTGGTTATTGTACCGACTGAAAATTCATCTTGTTTTCGCCACTGCGAAATTCCCCTTCACTTTCCACCCCATTAGAACGGCGGAAATTACAACCAGGACAGCTTATCTTTATAATTCAAACCTCGTTAAACATTTTCGTCATCAGGGCAAGGTTGAAATGTCATATTAACCTGTCTGGCCTCCTTAGCAGTAACGTATTTATGGCCTCATTAAGCATTCGGTGTGGTTTTCTCATGCCTGTCATTTCGATGGGTGCGGTGTGGCAGTGTAATTAAGAGCT